TAATATTATTTTTAATTTGAAAGTAATGAGTAAAACTTACCGGTGGCTTGAGAAATTTTGGATATAACATCAACAATTTTGGTTTTTGTATTATTATCTAATACCTATTTGTACATAATTATTATTTACTGCTTTTTTGAGAGACCTGAATGGCCTAAACTCATTCGTTTTCGTTGTTTTGATGGACTCCGCGAGGAACTGCTATAATAGAATTCGATGTAGAAGGACCACATACTTTGATTTTCTCTTACTATACGGAGAATGGTCGCACTGCGCAGCTTTCTGAGTGCCTTTTAAAAGGAGATAGAAAACTCCGCCATTTTGAACCCTTATTACGTGTTGCCTACATCTTGGCGCAATATTTTTAATAGGTGCGTTTTAATCATCCGCTTCTACTTCGGAATTGTCGGTTTTCTTGTTTTAATCTGACAGGTTAAAACGACTAAACCGACAATTCCGGAAGCAGAAGCGGATGATTAAAACGCACCTGATATTTTGCTTGCTGCTGTCAGTGTCAGTGAATATTATTTTTGAAGTCACAGTTTATTGCTAAAGAATCAGTTAGCTCACTCGGACCAGTTGAAAGTTCCAAAATAACATCCACTCCAGGGATACAAATTCAGGATTCGCAGAAGACTGCTGTTTTATTATAGGCGGTTGTCATATATTGTATTATCCGAGTTGCACAGTGTATAAACTGAAACATTGAGATCAAAAGTGCCGACGCAAAGTGAGCGATCTGATTCTTTAGCTGTAAACTGTGTCACAGGGTTCAAAATGGCCGCGCCCTATGTTGGGCGTGTTGGACCTCTCTCTTGCCTCGTATAGTAATCAAAGTATGTGAGAAGGACCCATAATCGTAGAAATTCAATACAATTGCTTACTAAAGTTTTGTAAAGAAGTGTTATTAAAGAAATAAAAACTAAGTAATAATGATGAGATATCATAATAATAAGAAAACTTAAAATATAAAATGTGATAAAATGTCAGAATAGAACTGTCAACAATAACAATTATCAGCTAAAAAGTAGTGTGTGAAACTGACTGTAATCTGACCAATCAGCAGTCTACAGAATTGCCAACTTAACTTCAAATCGCTCCTCTTAGTTTAAAAACAGAGTATAGACCTCCATGGTAGGGCAAGAACATTGTTACCAACGTATCAGTGATTACCTCAGATAAAATGTTAGATAAGTAACTGTCAAGATTTGTTTGTTTGTATCATGTTTCCCTTCCATTGCAGTTTTGCTTGAATACTTTGACAATTGATTCCGGTCATTCCATTAGCAAATGTCAAATTAAGTGCCCGAATTGAGAATTGGATCCCGTCATCCGATTGACGATTTTCAATTTAAGGGCCGGAATAATTCTTGCTGACCAATTGTGTTCCCGATCCATCAGATCAAGATAGAAAACCATAGACAAGACGTGCCCAAACAGTGTCGTCCCTTTAGGTAGTTTAGGGTGCGTACGCTTTGTTTGGATTTTCTTGTGCGTCATTTTGAAAATTTTGTAGTAGAAATTTATATTTTTTATGTAATCTGTTGTAAAATATTTAGAAAAATGGATGTTAAATGTGTTGTTTGTGGTAGAAAGGCAATTCTGTAACTTTTCACATGTAGGTAAATAGTGCTTAAATATCATTAGATTTTTTATAAAACTGGTTCGGTTTTGCCGTTTATAAAATATATTAATATGTTTTATACCGTGTATGTATCATTTTTAAATCTTAATTTCCTAGAAATTCTGAATTAAAAAACCTTTTGGCACAGGCCCTAGGAATATCACCAGAGATTGGGGCTAATAGTAGAATTTACTGTACATATTTTAGAAAAACTAAATTTATTTTTTCTCCCCATGGTAGAGTATTTTTAAAAAAGGGAGCTAAACCTACCTCTATGGTAATAGAAAGGAGAACGATAGTTTATAAAATCCTCAACCTGGCCCATCTTCAGAAAAAAGGTACTTAATTATTTATTTACGTACTTAAAGAAATTAATTTCAAAATAGTAAAGTATATCTAACCTAATACAAACAACTGTAGCGCGTCAAAAAAATATGAAATATTAAAAAAAGGAAAAACACTACAACACCACGAGTAAAACTTAGACGTTTAGGAGTTGCAAGTCTCGGTTAAGAGTTAAAATAATAAAATTAAACGCACTTTGTCCATTATTTGTTCTGTGTCTTTTTACATTCAAAAGTGATGTGTGCCGAGTACGTCGGACAGGAACCAGTAATTGAACTCTTTCAGGTAGTGATCCGCACTTGATAGACCCACCTATTAATTTAGCCAGGAGTAGAAGTAAAGCCTGCGTTCTTCTGCATTCCAGGCTCTGCATGCTACAAAGCAATAATCTTGTTTATTAACATGTGTTATGGCTATGAATTCAGTGTTTAAAGAACTGATATTTTACGAATTTATGTTGCGCTCTTTTAATTTTATTCATATTACAGGCGTAGGTTGCCAAATAAAACAGTATTCTAGGCCATTGTAAAGTGTCATGATTGCTTTTGTATTATTGTACCTAGTACGTCTCTTGATGAAGCCAAGCATTCTGAAGGCTATGCATACTATGGAATATATGTGGTTGTTTAAAGATATTGTGGAAGGAACTATCTACCTAGGTAGATGTTATTATTGTAACAGTAGGATTATGGGATCATGTAAAATGCATGGTTGTGCACTTACAAACATTTATAGAAGGAGCATTATTTTTAGGCCAGGTAACAAACCTATTTAGGTCAGACAAAGGCGGAGTTATTGCCACTGTTTCTTCTTAAAAACTTTAAATCATACGCGAGATTTTTGTGGTAGAATTAATAATTTTGCAGAGATTTGCGATACTTACAAACATTCAAAGACAATTTTACAATTGTCGGCCATTAATAAAAAATTCTTCATACCATTATACCCTCACGTTACGTTAGGCGAATTTAAATCAGATACTATGTCTTGAATATGAATGACTATACTGATGTAAATCAAAAACAATGACGTCATATTGAATATTGTCTTGAAATGGTTTAACATGTCTACAATAAAAACTTGATCATTACAGGTATAAGGTTGCCAGATTTACGAAAGGGAAAAGTGGGAAAAAGGAGATGACAGGCGATCAGATTAAAAATCAGGGCAATAATATTAGTTGAAAGCTAGTATACCTTTTTGACAGCTATTCAAAAATATTCCCAATCCAAAAATACCCCAAATATCATCTTCGGTTCAGAAAAACCTCGTTTAAACTATATCCTTAACTTCATTAAAAATTAAATACCTGATCATGCGAACGGAATCCCTACAGCGGAAATAGCAAAACCAGATGACAGAAAATACCCGCAAAGGTTTATTGTCCTCGACGTCTTGAAACATCGCTGCCAATGAAGCAAAACTCTTTTAATGAGCAACTTTACTTTGAATTTCAAAGCTCTAATGACCGGTGCCACCGTTGGGACATAGTACTTATTCACTCTTTTCTCTGATCCCTAAAAAAAAGAGCGAGCAAAAAAGCTACGTGTTACTTTTTGCAGTATGTTGGTGTGTACCTAGCCACCCACGTTATAAAATGATTATTAGGTTTAAATTCAAGAAAAGGTAACCAACTTACTGAATAATTTACTGGGTGGTCTGATAAAAAGCAAACCCTAGATGTTACCAGGTAGCGTCAGGTGCCAGCGAACCGTTGGGTTCTTTTAAATTTTTACGTTAAAGTCAGTAACAGATTTAAATTTGTATATGCTGACCTATTTTTTTGCCTATGTTTATCATTTTTTTGTGATATACACGTCACTTTCATACAACTAGGCTACTGTATTCAATTAAGTAGTTAACACTTACTAAAAATCCGACAAATTGTCCATTATTCACAATAATGTACGCGACACATAATAACATTTGGAATTTTTGTTTATTTTATAATTAATTTGTCTGTAACATTTAAAAAAAAAACAAGTGTTCTATCTTATTTGTTGATCCGACTTGCCCTACTCCAACTTCATTTGTGGCGCGCAGCATTAAAATAGTAAAATATTGCAACGCAAGAAAGGTTTGAATGCCCATTAAGAGATGGTCCATTTCATTTTTAGCTCGAGTTTATTTTACACTGATACACATTTTGTATATTTTTAGTCCTGAATCATTAGTTCTATTTCTTCTGCAAATGTTTTGAGGGCACCCTGTTTTTGGAAAGGTTAATAGGACAAGAGAGAATTGGCTTTTAATTAATTAATACATCATCTATTTTAATGTATTTCCTAATTAATATTTACGTAAATCCAATGAGCATACATACGTAAAAAAAACGTCGAAACTGGTTAATAACCAAACGTATAAAACGTATAAAAATAGTTCAAATGATGCGGAAAATAACGTTATTAGCGACCAAACGTTATAAAAAAACAATATTTTATCAAATTTTTGTTGAAAATTACTTAAAGAATACGTTAGAAAATAGTATTTTATAAACGTATAACTTAACAACTGAAATCTCAACGTTGAATTTTTAACCAATAACGTTTTTTCTATACCATAATAATTATAATAATAATAATACTCTCCCTAATTCACCCCCTTACGAGTAAATTTTAACCCCGAAAGCTGAGCTTGTGCGGGGAAAGGGACGGCTATTATTATTATTATTTGCCGGGGCGCTCCGGGGCGACATAAAGATGATTGATAGTGCCATTTGACTTACAGGTGAGGAAAACCCGGAAAAACTCACTCACCATCATCGAGACGGTAATGCATGGCGATTTTATAATCTGCATGTCATATCAACAGAAAATGAACTTCTATTAATACAGCACACATCAAATCCTATACCGGCAGTCTCGGACCATAAACTTGCCTATAAATGAATATAAGCGCGTTAGACTGCTACATCACCGACCCGATAAACGTTAAATGTACGTTGAATAAACGAGTGTGTGCTCATTGGCAAGTACTAAGTGTTTAAAAATTATAAAACGCATTATATGTTATTGTTTTTTATTCATTTAAATTAGTTTGTACAATTTGCTTGATCAGTTTTTTCCAATTTTTCCAAACTGATATTATTATCTTTTAATACTTGGTAGGCGATTTCCAAAACACTATTAGGTGGATTGCGTTCTCTTGTTAGAATCCAAGGTTTTCCTAAAATATAACATATTTTTAATAGGTACTAAATAAATTCATCTAATAACGTATGTTTCATATGTTTGTCAAAAAAGTTTGAGGTCTCATTTTGTAATGCTTTTATGTTTTAACAAGGTGGCTTTGGAAACAAAAATTTGTTTGTTATTCGAGCAGGAATTTAAAATTTATACATCTATATTTATTTCACTTCTGTCTATCTGAATTAGGGCATGGTTCAAAGCCCACTTATTCTGAAGCTCTAGGCTCATTGTACCCCTCACAGTTTCTATCCCATCAGACTGATTTTCTTGATAATTTCAAGAATATGTCTGATGGGCGCTTTCGCAATTTCTTTAGGTTCCGGATATTGTACCCCGAAGTACTATTCCCGTTCCCATTTAAGGTTCCAACATTGGCATAGTATGTGAATAGGAGTTTCGTCCTCCTCTTTACATATTCTACATAGGGAGTCATCAGATATTCCTAAGAGATTTAGGTGTCTTCTAAGGCCGCAGAGTCTCGTAAGGACTTATATTACGGCCTCAAGTTCGCTTCTGCTAAGATTTAGCAGTTAATGTTGTCTGCTCGTGGATGACCCCTCCATGAATCTTTTGGACTGTCTAAGTCCAGGAAGTTCCATCCAGAGCCTATGGTGTTCTCTATTTAATTGTTTCTTTAACACCCATTTAACAAGTTGGTATGAGATACCACATGTGGGTTCTGGTCCAATAAGAGTTTTTTCCGCTCCCTTCCTTGCTAGGAGGTCTGATTTCTCGTTTTCAAACACTCCCTCATGTCCTGGCACCCATTCAAGGGTGACCTTGTTATGTTCTGCCAGGGCCTGGAGGGACTGTTGGCAATCAAATATTGATTTAGATTGTACTTCTACCCTTTTCAGTGCTTTAAGGGCTGCCTGACTGTCTGTCATGATAAAGATCCTCTTATCTCTAAGACAGTTTTTTAGCATGACTTTGGCGCAGGCATTTATTGCTGTTACTTCAGCCTGGAAGACTGTTGTTAGTGACCACAGGTTTAAACTAATTGTCCTTCCTGAGTTCACATGGTAGATCCCAGCTCCTGTGCTATTTTTCATTTTCGAACCGTCTGTATACCAGATTGATTCGTTTTGGTTTTCCCTATTTTCCCGGCTTTTGGCCCTTTCTGGTATTTGAATATCAAAAGGTTTCCTGAAGTCGTGAATAATGGGCGTTCTATCCGATGTCATTCTTAGTACCGGATTTTGTTTTTAATTTCTCTAATACCATTATATGGTGTCCTTTTCTCGAAAGTTCCCATCCAAAGCCATTAGTAAACAGCCTGTATGCCGCCGCCATGGCCTCCTTCTCCACCACAAAGTGTAGTTCACTTAAAATGGCGTTTAAATTGGAAATGGACTAAGAATGACTTCAATGGCTCTGGTCAGTGTGATTTTAAAGGTTCCTGTTATCTTGAGACATGATCTTCTTTGACTTTGTTCTAGTTTGCGGATATCTGTCAATTTTTGCGTGTTTAGTACCCAGACAACTGCGCCATATGTTAGCATAGGTCTTATGATGTGACACGATTCGGCGGCATTGTTCATAAGCAATGTATGCTCCCTTGATTATGTTTTTCATGTGTGAGTTCCATGTTAACTTACTATCAAAGGTGAGACCTAGGTATTTTACCTCTGTTGCAAAGTTTTATTTTTTTTAGAAGATTGGGAGTTTTCATCATTTTTCTTGTAAAATATACTTTATGTTTTCACATTAGATGTTTTTCGGCTGGGCTATACCGGATATTACTGAAATACATGTACATATTAACACGTTAACTGCCATGTAGATCACCGGAGATCTCGTGGTAAGTGGTCCTGCCTACATAAAGTTTTGTCACTAACTTTGTTGAAAACCAAACTAAGATAAGATTTCAAGGCGGTAATGTAACCAAAGATAATTTTTCTAATGCGGACCATTGTTACCTTTATTGCAGTTAGATTTACTTGCACTATTTTTACAGGTATTTTCTGTAGGTTAGAAGAGACAATACTAAAATTTTGACAATGAAATAAAAAAGCAGAATACTGTAGAAGCCTAGTCACGAAACGGTCTTCCAATAAACTTACAAATTCTTTTCTGAATGGCTTACTTTCATTAGTTTGTGATGAATGACAGAACTGGCTTTTCCTCTAGTGCATATGCAGTGAAAACAGATAGGAACAGATACTGAATCGTTGTTGTTTCTCTGATGTTCTCTAGTCATTTAGAAAATTAAATTTTAAATGAAATTGTTTTTAAATTCTGAATTTTTTATTCATAAACATGCTTTGGTATGTTACCTTTGAAATCAAATTTTGAAGGGGTAGCAGTTGGAAGCAAATTAATTAATTTGAAAAATAAAAATGTTTTATTAAAACTCACCAGAAGTAAATCCCAATATTTCTCTGCAATACCACATTACTGAATAGCTTGTGTAATCAGTACTTAAAACCCAATAAGGAACATGACGAATTTCTAAAAAAAAAAAAAATAAGATATGTTTTGGTACTACTTATTTCAGATAATATTAAAAAATACTTGTCAAAATATAAATACTATAAGATGTTAAATTAGTGAATTTTACAAATTTATACAAAATTTAGTTAGATAATTATGAGCCATTTCATTGATTATTGCGTGTAAATTAAGTAAACATAAAGCATGACAACGTATTTTTTGTTATAAAATATAAGTCACTATTATTCGCGATTCAAATTTGTCACCTGCCACCGTTTTAAAGCTCGAATTGGCTCATCAAATTGCCGTCTATGTATCTCGACAATAAATGTCGTCATAGTCTAGAGGTAAGGGCATTTGTGTAGAGAACAAAGCTGTCTGGGTTTGAATCCCTGAGGCGACAGGCTTTTTTCAAATCTCTAAGTATTTGTTTTCACCTTTGGGGTTCTCGGATGGTCATGATAATTCGTAGGGGGATTTTTGAGATTTGAATCTGAAGTTTCAGATTACTTACAACTTATTTTAGATGCTTCTGACTTTCCGGATTTCGATTTGCAATCTACGATATTAAATTCACAATTTTATAATAAAAGAATAAAGTTGATTATATGCAACTAATAATACAAGAAAGTAGTAACATTGGTTACGTATATGTCAATTTTATAAATGATCTGATTAAAATTAGAAAAAATATTGTTTGTAACATGTTATGAAATTCCATTGTTTGTAAGTCCTCCATGTTACGGGACCTCGCGCTACTCGTCCAGCAAATATTCACTCGTTACAAACTGGTTTTATAAATAGCTATTATAACGGATAAGAAATCAATATGGCTATGGATATCTAGTTGTCCAAAGCAAATTGGACGATAAGGTATTTGTTAATATATTCAATTTACGATAAAGTAAAACTGCATTCAATTTTTCTGAGAAACATTTTTTATGGATTATCATGAATCATTAGTGTTTTAATCTTTAAGCTTAGAATAAAGAGACCAAAGATGTAACACGCACTGGGGTTTATTCTGCGCGAATGTTGCCAATTTCTAAAGAAAGTTTAACGGACTATGGGACCTGGGAGGAGACCCGAACTCTGTGACAGAGACTAGCATTGTCGTATTAGGAAATAAAATTAACGTGATTTTTTTAATAATAAACAGATGCAAAGACATTTTATGTAAAAAAGAGACAAAAGTTCTTTTATAGAATATATAAAATTGTTTGTCCTGACTGACTGACTGACTGACTGACCTATCAGCGTACAGCCAAAACTACTAAGCCTAGAAAGTTAAAATTACAGCTGCTGAGCATAAATAATTAATGACGTGTTTCAAGGTTTTTGGATTTTTTTACATTTTAGGGGGGGGGAAACGGGGGGTGAGAGTTTCTATGGGACTAACGATTTTTTTGTTCTCTATGAAGTTAGAAACATGAAAATTGGAATTCCAGCTACTTACTACAAATTATTAATGACGTGTTTCAGGATTTTTGGACTTTCACATTTTTAGGGGGAAAGTGGGGGTGAAAATTTATTTGGGAGTATCCATGTTTTTGGTTCCCTTTAAAGTTAAAAACATGAAAATTGGAATTTTAGCTACTGAGTACAAATTAATAATAATATATTTTAGGGGTTTTTATATTTTTACATCTTAAGGGGGTCAAACGGGGGTAAAAGTTTGTATGGGAGTGTAACTTTTTTTGTTCTCTTTGAAGTTAGAAACATGAAAATTAGAATTGCAGCTAATGAGTACAAATTAATAATGATGTGTTTTAGGGTTTTTGGATTTTCACATTTTAAGAGGGGGAAACGGGGGGTTGACAGTTTATTTTACAATATCCATTTTTTAAAGGTAGGAACTTGAAAATTAGAATTGTAGGTTCTCATCTTAAATAAATAATAAGTGTTTCATGGCTTTTGGATTTTCACAGCGAAAACAGGGGAAAACAGGGGTGAAAATTAATAAAAATTAATAAAAATTAATAAAAATTAATAAAAATTAATAAAAATTAATAAAAATTAATAAAAATTAATAAAAATTAATAAAAATTAATAAAAATTAATAAAAATTAATAAAAATTATTAAAATTAATAAAAATTAATAAAAATTAATAAAAATTAATAAAAATTAATAAAAATTAATAAAAATTAATAAAAATTAATAAAAATTAATAAAAATTAATAAAAATTAATAAAAAATAATAAAAATTAATAAAAATTAATAAAAATTAATAAAAATTAATAAAAATTAATAAAAATTAATAAAAATTAATAAAAATTAATAAAAATTAATAAAAATTAATAAAAATTAATAAAAATTAATAAAAATTAATAAAAATTAATAAAAATTAATAAAAATTAATAAAAATTAATAAAAATTAATAAAAATTAATAAAAATTAATAAAAATTAATAAAAATTAATAAAAATTAATAAAAATTAATAAAAATTAATAAAAATTAATAAAAATTAATAAAAATTAATAAAAATTAATAAAAATTAATAAAAATTAATAAAAATTAATAAAAATTAATAAAAATTAATAAATATGAATAAAAATTAATAAAAATGAATAAAAATTAATAAAAATGAATAAAAATGAATAAAAATGAATAAAAATGAATAAAAATTAATAAAGATGAATAAAAATGAATAAAAATGAATAAAATTGAATAAAAATGAATAAAAATAAATAAGAATGAATAAAAATGAATAAAAATGAATAAAAATGAATAAAAATTAATAAAAATTAATAAAAATTAATAAAAATTAATAAAAATTAATAAAAATTAATAAAAATTAATAAAAATTAATAAAAATTAATAAAATTAATAAAAATTAATAAAAATTAATAAAAATTAATAAAAATTAATAAAAATTAATAAAAATTAATAAAAATTAATAAAAATTAATAAAAATTAATAAAAATTAATAAAAATTAATAAAAATTAATAAAAATTAATAAAAATTAATAAAAATTAATAAAAATTAATAAAAATTAATAAAAATTAATAAATATGAATAAAAATGAATAAAAATGAATAAAAATGAATAAAAATGAATAAAAATTAATAAAGATGAATAAAAATGAATAAAAATGAATAAAATTGAATAAAAATGAATAAAAATGAATAAGAATGAATAAAAATGAATAAAAATGAATAAAAATGAATAAAAATGAATAAAAATGAATAAAATGAATAAAAATGAATAAAAATGAATAAAATGAATAAAAATGAATAAAAATGAATAAAAATGAATAAAATGAATAAAAATGAATAAAAATGAATAAAAATGAATAAAAATGAATAAAAAAATTAATAAATATGAATAAAAATGAATAAAAATGAATAAAAATGAATAAAAATGAATAAAAATGAATAAAAATGAATAAAAATGAATAAAAATGAATAAAAATGAATAAAAATGAATAAAAATGAATAAAAATGAATAAAAATTAATAAAAATGAATAAAAATGAATAAAAATGAATATAAATGAATAAAAATGAATAAAAATGAATAAAAATTAATAAAAATACTAAAAATTAATAAAAATAAATAAAAATGAATAAAAATGAATAAAAATTAATAAAAATAATAAAATTAATAAAAATTAATTAAAAATAAATTTTAATATTAATAAAAATTAATAAAAATTAATAAAAATAAATAAAAATGAATAAAAATAAATAAAATTTAATAAAAATTAATAAAAATGAATAAATGTAAAAAAAATAAAAAAAAATGAATGAAAATCAATAAAACTAATAAAAATTAATAAAAAAAGAAGTCATGTATTTTTTTATATTAATAACACAATTATATGCGATCAAAGTCGCGAGCAAAGCCGCGGGCAATAGCTAGTAGAATATTGAACTATAAATTTTTGAAATAAAATATTGTCAATGGAGCATTGTCTACGAGTATATTATAATAGCTGCATGTGCACAGGCGAATACTGCAAATCAAACCTTGTAAGTTAAACATTATATTTTTTCTACGGCTATTACATAAGATTAAAAATTACTCAAAACGAGAAAATGCTGTTTTGTATAGTAACCTCAGAAAAAGGTATATTAAAGCTTCTATTTTTTAAAATATGAATTAGAGGACCTTACACATAAATCTCTAGAAATGCATATTTCTGAAACCGGATAACATTTTTAACCGACTTAAAAAAAGGAGGTTCTCAATTCGTCGGCATATTTTTTTTTATGTATGTTCAGCGATAATTCTTTACCACGTTTTCCGATTTCTATGATTCTTTTTTATTAGCAAGGGGATACCCCAAGAGTAGTCCCATATACAATTGGTCATGATCTGATAATCTATGAGAAAATTAAAAAAATCTTGATTTTTAAGGACATCTGCATGATTTTCAAGTCAGTTTAATTTAAATAACTTTTATAACTTGTAAAATTTAAACCTAATAAAAGTCATTTGGCCGCTAGGGGGTGGGCGATTATTGAAATAAATTATCAATCATTGAAAATAATTGGTTATTTTTAATTAATTGATTTATTTTCAAACCATCTATTTTTTTGTATTTTTTTATCTATTATTCGATTATCTTTAAAAAACCGAAAATATTTGATTAATTAAAAAAGCGATTAACCTATAAATCGGTGTTTCCAAAAAATTATAAACGAAATATTGAATATTTTCTAATAATTAATACATATTTTTCGATAATCTTTGAAAAATCGAAAATAATCGATTAATAAAAAATAATCAAATAATCAAAAACAATCGATTAATAAAAAATAATCGATTAATCAAAAATAATCGATTAATTAAAAAACTGATTAACCTATAAATCGATTTTTCAAAAAAAAAATATTTTAAATAATCGGTTATTTTCGATCAATCGATCACTATCAAATAATCCATTTTTTTGCTATTTTATTTAAAACCAATTATTCGATTATCTTTGAAACATAGAAAATAATCGATTATTTGACAATAATCGTAAAATTAAAAATCCGATTAACCGATAAATCGTTTGTCCAAAAAAAAATCGATAATTTTTAAACAATCGATTATTTTCAATAAATTTACTTTCTTTTTGTATTTCCTTTAAAATCAATTATTCCATTATCCTGACAAAACGAAAATAATTTATTGAAAATATTCGATTAATCGAAAATAATCGATTAATTATATCTAATAAATCGATTTTCATAAAAAAATAACAGAATAATCCATTATCTATTTCCAAAATTAAGAGATTCGAATTTTTTGATCCCGTTATCTTTGAAACCTTATTATATTATAATAAATAATATGGCAAGAATTTAAATTTTTTTAATAAACAATTTTGTTTTTTTGAGTTGTTTAGGGGTTTATAATGTAACATTTTATTAACACGTTAACCGCCACCTGTACAGCCAGCTGCCAACTGACATTTGACTTGAAGCGCCGAACGAAATATACGGCGTATTACGAAAATGTATTTGTATTTTTTTTTAGTATACACCATCCTATCTTCATGAAACTAAGACGTACATAACATATTTTTGAATGTGAGAACAATTTAGGAATTATTTTGTATTGGTAGCCGGCGGTACAGGTGGCGTACATGTAAAGCTGACATTTAAAATTTGCCATTTGTACAGCCGGCGGACATGTATTATCCCCTCTACGATGCTTAAAAACGCCAGCGTTTTACAAGTGCGAAAGCGATACTACGGTAATGAGATCATCAGCGACCGTTTGTGCGTTTGTTTTGGATCGAGTTTTCATGCGGTTTAGCAGTTTTACAATTGATAAGTTTGTTTAGTTTATTTTGATGTAGATTTTTCATTGAACAAAGAAATATTGTTAGTGTTTATTGGACTTTTCTACTGTAGTATCATATTTGTCGGGTAAGTAAGCGATTTCTAACAATTTTATCACTTATTATTATAGCGTTTTTTGTTTTAGTCATTTCAATAAATATGAATTCGAAAAAGAGGCCGTTCAGTGAAAAAGAATTATTGGAAGAAGCGGAAAAAATTTTTGAAGAGTCAGACAGTAGCGAAGTCGATTTTGATAGTGATGATAGTATCAGAGATCCGGACTTTCAGGACCGTACTTCCAGCTCTTCAGAAGACAGTCCTTCCGAAGAAGACGGTTACCTAGATGATGCTTCTGATAATAATCCTGGTAACAATTCAACATTAATTTCTGAATGGGGAGAAGTAACTGGAAATAAACAGCAAACATTTGCATTTGTAGGAAAAGAGGGCCTAAACCCAAACTTGGATACAAGTACTTTTACAGTGTTCAATGCTTATTCCCTGTTCGTGACTGAAGATTTGTTAGAAACAATGGTTATAGAGACAAATCGAAATGCTCAACAAGTAATAGCAAAGTTAGGTAAACCAAAGTCCAAAAGTCGACTTTCACTTTGGAAACCAGTAACACTATCGGAAATGAGGAAGTTTCTTGGTATTGTGCTTTATATGGGTTTAGTACGTTACCCAAATATTGAGGCTTACTGGAGCACACATCCCATATATAAGAATAACCTCATTCCAAAAATTATGCCAAGAAACAGATTTCAATCTCTTCTACGTTTTTGGCATTTTTCGAATAATCAAGACCTTACTGCAGAAAATAGTCGTCTTTATAAAATCGAGCCATTGGTTACTCACTTTAATTTGAGATACAAACAGGTAATGCGACCGGGAAAAGTAATAGCAATAGATGAAAGCATGGTTCCTTTTCGTGGTCGACTAAAATTTAGACAATATATTCCTGGGAAACGGCATAAATATGGCATTAAGCTCTTTAAGATGTGCGATCAGAAAGGATATACGTATTCATTTTCTGTTTATCAAGGCAAAGGGCGGATCAGGAAGTATCTCTCCCAACGAGTACAGTGATGGATCTGTGTAAAGATTTTTTAGATGAAGGAAGAGTTGCAGTAAATGACAACTTTTATACCAGTATTCCTCTTGCAAAGCAACTTTTAAGTCGAAAGACTCACTCGGTTGGAACCTTAAGAAAAAATAGAAAATATCTACCAAAAGAAGTTGTGTCAGCAAAACTAAAAAAAGGGGAAATAATAGGTAGAGAAAATGAAGATGGAATCGTTGTCTCTAAGTGGAAAGATAAAAGAGATGTTTTAATGCTCTCTACATATCACAATTTGGACGTGGTAAACACAGGAAAGTTAAACAGAAAGCGTGAAACGATTCAAAAACCGCTATGCATTATCGATTATAATGCAGGAAAGGCGGGAATTGATTTGTCTGACCAATTAGCCGCATATTCTTCTCCTGTCCGAAAATCAGTAAGATGGTATCACAAAGTTGCCATTGAATTATTGATGGGGACATCTGTAGTTAATGCCTTAGTTGTATACAAAATGGTGCATCCAACATCAAAAATGTCTGTTACAAAATTTCGAGAAACTTTAGTGGAGTCGCTTTTGGAAATTACAGGTGAAGACGAAGTTCCACAAAAGGATAAGAAGCGAAAAAAGATTCAGCACGAAATGAAAGAGACTGAAGAGAAGTGCAAAAGGAATAGAAAAATTAGAAAAAGATGTATATACTGTTACAAGAAAATATCGGCGGAGCAAAGCTGGAAACTAGCAGCAAATTCAGCGAAAAGAGTAACTACTTATTGCGATACCTGTCCTGAAAAACCTTTTATTTGTATTCAGTGTTTTCCCGATCATTTTTGAGTTTATTTTTATAATGAATTTTATTTATAGCAAATAATGAATAAAAATAAAACTTTCGTCTTTTTTATCCATGTTTTTTACTTTTGCATGCTCCGATTGCCAAACCAATGGTGCACATGTTTCCTTGTACGCCGGACAATACCTATATACGGGGAATTGTACGTAACCTGAACCGCCGGCTTGCAATTTAAATAAAAACACAGCTCTTCTCTTGTACGCCGGCCGTTCAGTTGGCACAAAAATGATATCGCTAGTTGGCCGCCGGCTGTACAGGATGTCAACTTTAGAATTCCTAAAAATGCCATTCGGCGGTTAACGTGTTAACAATGTGACTAACTCTAGTAACTTTAGTATTTTTTTTGCTACTAGATTCGTTAGCAACAATGCCTATTTTTTGCCCTTTTATAAATGTAAGTATTACGAAATCCTTAATGCGGATCTCAAGTATTGAGCCGAAAGGATCATGGCGACGTTAATAAAAATTTACCGCTGAAAAAGAATATATTTCTTATTTTTCATAACATTGGCACTTATATTATACGTATATACAATTTAAACTTAAAATTAAATAACTAAAACACATTAAATTGCTAATAACACCAACAACTATTTTAAAAGGGACGGTCCAAGATGATTAACTAACGCGGAGATGAGCGTAGAATAGAAATGTCGGAGCAATTCGGGTGGCGTCGTGGAAACAATAATTTTTAATTGGTGGGTTACTTAAGGTTGGAAAATACAACCTGCACTATGTGTAATGTTACATCAACGGTCTCTTTAATCTAAGTCTTTAAGATATTACTATTACTTTCTCTTTTTAATTGTTTGTCTTGTGATTAAAAAAAAAACTCTACTTTTATTATCTACATATTACGATTCCTTCACTATATTTTTTTAGTTTTTACTTCCTTTTTGCTCACCCAGTGATCTTACTTTTTATGCTATTAAATTACATTTATGATTACAGTTTAATAAAAAATACTTGTGAAGAAATATAATTTAAAATATTTTTAAATATAATAAATAAAAATACTAACTTAGGATGTCAGGAGTCACCATTAATTTTGCTTCTCCATTGGTAGATGTAAAGTTTAAAGTTCCATCGAGATGAACTGGAAACAAATCGAGGCTGAAATAATAAATTATACAAATATAATATGCAGTAGGTAGTTTATATTTTGAGAAATAAATTTGACAGGTTTCTTTCATTTTTTTTGAAATATACCAAGCAGTGGCAAAAAAATGCAGACAGTTAAGATTTCGAAACATACCACTTAAAGTAGAAGATAGAAGATACAAGATACAATGTAATATTTATTTTTATGCAACCGAAACAAGTAGAATAAATTAAATATTAAAGAAGTATTAAAGCTAGTTGTTGCCTAATTATTCTATACCAATTGCAATGAAATTTCCGTTACACGTTAAAACGCCCAATAATTCCTAGACTAACCTCCAATTCAGAATTGGCTGACGACACACAATATTCAGTTTTATCAGAAAATGTTAAAACAAGATTTATTTAACACAATTTTCAGAAATAAACCATTAAATAAACTAACAGACTACAACCTCCCAAATCTGATCTAATTGTATCAGCCCTACTAAAAAAATTATTTAGAAATGTTGGCACCGTGAACTTATATTCTAACGGGAGGATATTTTACCTATAATTATTGATTTTATTGATGATAGCGATAGTGATTCTTTTTCTGAATGAAGCTTTACTCGTTGCTTAGTTTTATTCTTTTTATTTATATTGGAAGAACTACTAATTAAATAAGGTGTCAAATTAAATATACCTAATTTTTTTTATAAAATGTTTCTTGAGATCCTCGAATTTTGTAGCAACGTTGCAACGTCTGCTTTTATGAGTTTATAACGTGCATTGGAAATTTCATTGCATTTACTATATGACAGCAGTTAATTAAAATTAAAAAAAAGACGTACTTCTCTTTATAATCCAAACTATTTAGTAATAGTACAGACACGAGTATAGGTATTATCTACGTAATCAGTGAACTAGGTACCCAATAAGAAAAAAATAGAAAAAAATAATACACGTGTACGATATATTTTACAATAGAAAAAAAAATCTATTTTAGAAACTTCTGGTTAAATCGCATTAGAAAAATGTTTAGTAGATAAGGTAAAATTAATAATAGATATACATCATTATACATTATCGGCTATCAAACACCTTCAAATACGTTTATCACAAGTGAGTGTGAAAACTACAGAGAGTTAGCATTAGACGAGTAGAAAATTAATAATATCGGTGATGCCAGTTTATACGTTACAATGACGTCTTGTATAAAAAAACTATATTAGGATAATGGAGTCAATCGCGCCTGATATCTAGTGGTACAATAATTCAACTTACGATTTTATTTGCTGGTCAGATACGCCCTCTACCGTTATAAGTGACAATTCTGTAAAAATACTGGTCGTTATGAAATTTTTAGTTATTGAGATTAAATATATGTATCCCAATGACAGAAAGCGTCTGAGATTCAAACTTACAAGCAGAGTGACTAATGAACGAATTTTTTTGTTTTTTTTTTATTTTATAAATTTGAAAAAATATTTTTAAAATTTTTATTTTATCTTAATGACCATGGCAATCTCTAGGTAAATCAAATTAATTTAAATAAACTCAGCTTGATCGTCAAACTAAAAGGCAACTATAAAGTCCAGTAATTTTTATATAATTTTGAGGCAATGAATAAAATTAAATTGTAAGAATTTTAATCTTGAGACGGCTATGGGTACCATGGCTTCCACTTTGGAGCCATCATTGATGTGCAATTAAAGAAATGATAAATAATATTATGTGGTAGTGCAATTATTAATATCTTTTGCTTTTTTTCTAACAATATAGTTCGATTATTTATTATAAAGTGTGCATTAGAGCAGCGTTTCTTAAACTGTGTTCCGCCGAATTCTGGGATTTCGTGGATATCCTTCAAAGGTTTTGCGAACTTAAAACAATAATTTACCATAAGAAGAAAGCTCATGCAAAGTTTAAAACTACTAGGTTGCATTCAGATTATCTTATCTTCTATAATCTGAGATCTCAGTGTAAAGTTCTTAGTAAAACTGTAACGAGGCTTATATATCAAGGGTGGATCAAAATTTAACTGAAAATCCTAAGCAATTTTGGAGTTATGTAAATTCACTTAGGAAGGATCATGGGATTCCAAGTAATATGTCTTTAGATAATGAATCTGCTTATGATGGAAATTGAATAGTAAATGTTTTGCTTCCCTATTTTTCATCAGTATATAGTAATAATATTATACCTATTAATGAATTGCGCATAAATAATAGGCTCAAAGTAGACATTCCTTCTTTTCGCATTTTAACGGGTGAGATTTTCTCTGAGATTTTTAATTTAAAAGATAACTCAAGCTGAGGTCCGGATGGTCTACCTACATATTTCCTTAAGAGATATGCATATACATTAAGTGTACCACTTTGTATGATGTTTAGCCAGTTGATTTCTAAAGGTTATTTTCCCGCTACCTATGTGACACCAATTTGTAAAAATGGTGAAAAGTCTAATGTTAAGAATTACCGACCTCTCAGTAAACTCTCTATCATCCCCAAATTATTTGAGCCACTGGTTACAAAATTTCTTTCATGGCATTGTAAAAGTATAATTATAAATGAACAGGATGGTTTTACCTTTGGAAAATCTATAATTATATCAGAAAAATATATCATTAACTCATTTAAACTAAGTAGCCAAGTAGATACTATTTATGCTGACTTCAGTAAAGCATTTGACAGGGTGAACCATGCTCTTCTAATTCACAAACTTTAATTGATGGATTTTCCAGTCTGATTAATTGTCTGGTTATCCAGCTATCTTAGTGGGAGAATACAGTTAGTGAAAATTATAAATCACATTTCAAATTCAGTCATGATTTTCTCAGGAGTTCCACAGGGCTCTTTTTTACTGTTCGCTGATATCTTAAAAATGTACTTGAGAATTACTTCCTGCGAAGACTGTTATAAATTGGAAAGTGACATTTTAATACTTACCAATTGGTCTGTTGCTAACGGTATATCTCTGAAAACTGATAAATGTTATTCAATTACTTTTACTGTAAATAAAATTCCCATCGCTTTCAATTATTCATTTAATAATGTACCCATGAACAGAGTTGTTACTATCAAGGATCGGGGTATTAGGTTCGATACTCAGCTGACATATACTGAACATATTAATACCATTACTAGCAAGGGTTATCAAATGTTGGGATTTACAATGCGAAATTCGAAGGATTTATCAATTAAAGCTATTTTAGTGGTTTATAATGCTTTGGTATGTTCGTTACTAAAATATACTTCTATAGTCTGGACACCCTATTACGCAGTTCATATCTCAGCAATTGAACGAATACAATACACATTTTTGGGATATGCAGCGTATAAAATGCACACAGGTTGGCGATTACAGTAATGAGGAAGTTTTGAATACACTTAACTTATTAAAATTAGAAGACCGTAGAATATTTATGGAAATGACTCTTATTCAAGCTATTGTCGGGGGATATTTGTTACCCAGAACTTCTGTCCCTTTTCTCACTTAGGATTCAGAATAGAACCACTCGTAACCACAGTTTGTTGGCTATTCCATTTTATTACACAAATTATGGATATCACACTCCTGTCTCTCGCTTATCATGAACAGCCAATATTCTTGGTGAACAGGGCATTGATTTTATCAGTCTTTCCCTGAGCACCTTTAAAGCTAAGTTGAGGTCAAAGCTTTAAAAACAGAATAGCAAACTCTAAATAGTATTTGAAATAATTGTTATGTTAGTTACAAACAACTTTTCTTTGTAAGCATTATGCTTTAAATAATACATAATGGAACATTTTCATGTTTAATTGATTGAGGAGTTTAGAATTAAAAAGGCATAAGTACAGTTTTTTTTTAATTAAGTATTGAGATATTGAAGTCTAAAGTTAAGTGTGGTTTTAAAATTCCCGAAGATCAATAACATGACTTCTGACCATTAGTGTGAAAGGTGACTTCTGACCATTAGTGTGAAAGGTGTTAGAAATATTAGCCAAAATGCCCTTTTAATTTTAACTAAATTTATTAATCTGGGCAAATACAAAATAGAAATATTTAGAAATGTATGTTACTTTTATTAAACAAAATTAGTATTATTAATTTTCATAGTCATATTTAATGACGTCCTCATCTAGCTCTTTTTCTTCGAATGAAGTTATCAACATTTGGCTCTTTTTCTTCAACCGGAGTTGATGTACTAGGAGGCTCTGGAAGTAGATTCGTTTAAAGGATTTTCCAGTGTAATATTATTGTATTTGTATGTGCGTCACTGAGGACACTTCACGATATTATGTGTCTCAAGACTAAGAGCTTTAAATTTGGGCCTATTTTAACACCCTTTCTTACATGTTGATTAATGGCTTTATTTATTATAAATTCACTCGTATCTATTCTCTACCAAACAGAAGAATACTTTAAATTTAAACTTAAAATTTGTACTTAAATTAAAAATTAAAATAGTCTTAACACCCGTATACAGGGTGTTAAAAAAAAAGTGTCACAAAATGAAATGGTGAATAGTATGACCCAAAATAAGCAGAAAAGTCTTAATAAATATATGACCGCAAATTAACGGTTTCGGAGATACGGACCATTTTGTGTTTATAACAATTTTTTATTATTATAAAAAAACAATGATATTTATAAACAATCAATAACAACATAGAGTTAAATGAGATGTTCAAAGTGCCCTCCCTCCATTTCAATGCATTGCCATTTGCACGACCGTACATAAAATGCATGTCAGCTAATTCAATATTAGTGTAAACAGGCATAACGAAAATTTATAAAATTATTCACCCACAACAAAATAATAACTGCAAATAGTATCTATGAAAAAACATCGGTAGACTCCGATAAGAAAAGCAAGTTTTTGAGAATGAAAAAAGATAATCAAAAAATGATACAAAACACAAAACACTCCGTATCTCTGAAACCATTCATTTGCGGACATATGTTTATTAAGACTTTTCTGCATATTTTGGCCCATACTACCCCCCGTTTTATTTTGTGACACTTTTTTCTTAACACCCTGTATATGTTATACAATTTTAAAATTTTTTATATGTATTCTTATTTTCACCAGAAGCAGAATTTTTTACAAGAAATGACTTTGGGTCATAAATTACTTACTAATAATGATTTTTCTAAACACAACTTATATTTTTTGACCTCATTCGATGGTACTTTTTAATTTTTATGAAATTTAAATTCGGTTTTAGGTCTTCCACGAACTTTTATAAAGTTTACAATTTTCTGAGAAATAAACATTAAAAATAAATAATGCAGACTTTTTGCGACACACTGTATGTGTATTAAATTAAATATATGAATTTTATTACCTCGACAATTAAAAAGAGACAAACGTTTTGCTTTATTCCTATAATACTTACTTAATGTTAATGATAAATTTGGTTGTTTTTAAATATAGCGTTTCTTTAATCATTTTGATAAGCGGAACCCTCTGTCTGTTTCAATTAGATTTTAAAGCAACTTTCTCTAATTAGATTATATTTAACCAAAAATAATAATTTTCATATTAATACTACATAAAGAGGATGAAACGAGGATTTCTTACCTATTCTATTTTGATAATTTCAACAAGTCGTTAATTTGTATTGCATTTTTTTAATAAGAAAAGCACGTACATTTCGCGGAACTCTTTAGTGATCTCCGCGGAAGATAGTTTAAGAAACACACTGCTTTTATGCATGCAGTGAATAAATAATCATATTACACATTGTAAACAAAATAAATAAACGGGATAGTTTAATAATTCAACTATGTACCACATGAGTATTACCAACTTAATACTTTTTTAATTATATTTAATTTCATTCATGTTCACTTTCAAATAACAAAGTTTACTTACTTTAACTATCTTTAAATTTATCACACTATATAATGCGCTTATTTACAATAGTAGTTCCTTATACAATGACAACCGTTCATACACTAGTTTAGTGATAATGTAATTATGGTTCCACTGACAATTAAAGTGACAGTAGATTTTTTGAGTGCGTTTTGTTTGTTTTGTTTACCTAAATTATATAGTTTATTTACTTTTAAAAATATATTCCTAAAATAAGTAGATAATATATGCATCAAATATACAAACGTTTAGTTACCAATTACATACCTTTATACTATTTTTTATGACCTGTAAACAATTTTTAGAAATAAACTAAAAACAGTAAAAACGTTTATGTCAAATTTATTGAGGTTCTGGTTAAAAGTTTGGTTAGAATTAAATGTCAGTGGAACCAAAATGACATCACACCGAACTAGCATAATGTTGATATGTTTCGTTTCCTTCTCTCTCTAATGCTCACTATCTGTAGTTTACACATGCACTTGTGAAAAGCGTATCCGAAAATGTTCAATAACTGACACTGTATAATGTATGTACAGGGTGAATAAAGACATTATTTTTAATTTTTATTTCTTTATGCGGGTTGTATACATAGAATGCTGCCAACTCAGTTTAGTTAACACTAGTTTAATTTCTAACCAGTTTATTCAAAGTACAAATATCAATCTTAAAATTATATTTAACAATAATTGATAATTATACAATGAAGTTCACAGTTTAAACTAAAATTACATTTTAACTGCAGCCCTTAATGTTAGAGGCGGAAGTTAAAATATTAGTTGCCTGTAAATTTTTGTACACAAGGTGGACATTCTTGGTTTTAATTAATAGTTCATTTTAATTATGAATTAATTATTATTGTATAATAACTGAATACATTTTTAAAACATTTTTTTTTCTAGGTAAGTGTCACGATGTTTTAACAATACACAAATGGTAAGTTATAGAAGATAAATATCGAGTAGTAGAGATATTAACCGCATAATTTAAACAGGAAATTAAGGGAACAAAATAACTTTATAATAGTTGTTTGCTAAAATATCTTTAAAAATAGCAATCTATTAATTGCAAAAAATAGGCAATATTATTAACAACAAACAAGGTCACAGAAGGAGCGCGATCAATGCGTGTACTTTTTGGAGACCGTCTTACTGAGTTCTTGTAAGCTTAGTGGATCCTCTTTTAGTCTTCTGTACCTTAGCTGATGGGGAAAGTTGTTTATTAGTTCGTATATGATTTATTTCAATTTTTATTGACAGTAGCTCGATTTTTACATTTATAGAAGAAATATTCTAATTATTTTATAAACGTAATCAAAAACCGTCTTACATAAATAAATATATGATAATTTAAACATAAAATTATGCTTCTTGATACATAAACAAAAAATAATCAAAACAAATAACAGTGAAAATCAAAACTACTTAAAAAATTCATTTAGTTTTTAATTTTTTCCAAGATATTTTCTAACTCGTATTTGACAAACACGCTGCATAATATCTGTATTCTGTTTACCTATTGATGGGATAATCTATATTGCATTTTTTCCGCAGTTGCTGATTTTAATTGTATTAAACGGGTCGATTATATTATTAAGATCTTTATTTTTCTCTTACATTAGATTTACACCATTTGCTTGCTGCTACAATTATCGTACTAATAGTATTGGTAATTTAGTAACTGCTATTATTGGCTTTAATGATGGGTATTTGTGGCGAATGAAGTTAAATTTTCATTACTAATTTAAAATCAATAACAGGTCCGAATATCCAATCTTAATGCAATCTTTCGAGAAAAGCATTAACCTTATTTTTTTAATTAAATAGTTTTTTAGAATATCTAACTTCTGCAGTAAAGTAAATAGCATGTAGTTCCTTAAATGGGACGTATTTACATGTTATTCGGTTTCTCGTAATTTTTTGTCTTTAGTAAATATTGAGGCATAATTCGCTAATGCAAATTAGCGTTAAATAAATAGCATTTATTTTTTAGAATTAGTTAGCTAAAACTCCAGGTCCCTTTCTTTAAGATATTTACATGTTATTCAGGTTCCCAGTAAATTTTATTTTGCGGAAGATCGAACGCTGAAACAATAATACAAACTAGCGTTGATTCAATAGCATTTATTCCCTTGAATTATTTGACTGGAAGCCACTTTATTTTAGGTATTTACATGTTACGTAAGGTTGTCGTTAAATTTAGTTTTGTAGTAAAAATTGAGCACATTCCTATTCAGTCAGTACATTAAATTTAAAAGCGTGTACATTGTCAATTAACACTTATTTTCACCATTTCTTATTATATTTGTGCTTCTGTATCTGTAACGTGTGGAGGGTGAGTTACCCCCACGGCACTTGCGCCTCGTTAGGCATATTGTGCATCCTCTTAAGATGATAGGCACCTCCTAGCTCGTGAGCCAGCCTACAGATTTAATGTCGCCAAGAGGTGATTCTCTTATATCGGCCGGTGTTAGCCGATACTCGCCAAACACAAATCCTCTAATAAATTAGGGCGTCGAGCAATCGTAAAGGATATACTCAATGGTTTTATCTTCTTGTTCGCACCCTCTGCAGAGTGTGGATTCTGACAGCCCCATGATAAGGAGACGCTTCCGTACTTAGCAATGACCAGTCAGAATGCCTGTAACTAGGCGCAGATTCTCTTTAGTCATGGTCAAGTATTTCTTTCCTGCAGTGTTGTCAGGATAACTTAAGAGCTCCCTGCCAAATCTACAGTTTCTTGTTTCATCCCATCTTTACTTAAATTTTACAAGGGAATGTTCCTTAATTAGGTCTATCACTACCGATTTTGTCAGGCCATGAAGTATTTGGTTGACTGCTTTCTTGGCTAGTGAATCAGCAAGTCGGTTACCTTTCGATGTGGCGTGACTTTTTATCCATCTTAAGGTGACCACATTGTTGATGGATACTTCGGCCAAAGCTTTGTGACATTCTAGTACTAACCTTGAGTAAATTCGTGAAGTGTTCACGGTGAGTAGTGCTTGTCTGCTATCTGTATAGATGAGCATGTCCTTTTAGTGCTTAATGGTTACTGACAATCCAAATTCCGTCTTACTAGTCATATACCTGAAAAGTTTGAACCATCCCGTTTGCCCGTCTCTTTTTTCTTTGAAATAGTCCCCCAATCATCTAATTGAAGACCCGCCACCCACCACACGGCTTATTTTTGTAATTTTTGTTTAGTGTTTCGTTCATCCGAGATGGTGAGCGTTGAGACCTATGTTTATTTTTTGAAACTAATAGGAATTAAATTGAAAAAACTGTTTGTTTTCTTCCAGCTTCTAGAAAATTATTTATTTCACATAAACAACGAATAAGTACCCTTAGTTCAGATAGTCTTAAATGAACGTGACCCCTGGAATATTTCATCTTCTTCTCCAGCTGCCCGAGTATGTTTGTTGGTGTTTCAGGAGTTAGTGGAGTAAATATATAATGTAGCGCCAGAATAACCGACCGAGTGTAGCGTCATTCGTAAGAGTATTTTATTAAGGGGTGGAGAAAAACCCTTAGAGTGCTCTTTATCTATAAAACTATTTTTCTTGTAATTATGAAATTAATTTAGGTAGATTCTCCAAAAATTATCCAATACTAAAATCTCATGTTATTAAGCCAATATTTACCTCCTTACAACGTTGTAACTAAATTGGCGTGTTTTTATTTTGGCCCTCTCGTGGAGCTTAAAAATTACAACTCAAAATGCCAACGCTGTGCAGCCATTAGAATTAAATACTTAATTATTTAACTTAATACTTACAAAATCATTTCGTTCCTTAATCTAATTGCGCCATCTTTTATAGAATAATCGGTCAGAACGCATCTACCACCTTCTTCTTGTAAAGTTGGATATTTTGCATGTTCATACCATCTTCCGAGGTACTGAAAACAAAATCCAATATAAATAAAGATTATTTAACTGCTCTAATATAGGTCCTCTTAAATAGTAAGTTCTTAATCAAAAGATTTTTTTATTTCAATATTGATTGTTTAATTACTGTATCTTTAACCCAAAATTAACGCTTTTGAAATGTTCTCTTAGCGTTCCTTAGCGGTGACCATGATGATGGTTTTGTAAACCCCAAAGCGCACAGCCTAATTTTTAATAAAAAAAAATTAGACACTTACGTGTGCCTTTCACCTTAATTCTAGTTTAGTTGTTTAATACGATGTAATAATTATTTAAGAATTTACCGGGTTTTAAATAATTTTAAACGTTTATTATTTTAAATGAATATGGCTTACGAGTATGACAATGGGTGGTGTGAATAAACATCTTGCGTTAGACTGAATGTGTTGACCAGGGACATAGCCCAATTAAACTTAAATACTTTGTTACAGCACATATTTTTTTTTTATATTACAATAAAATAATATACAGGGTAAAACATTAGTGTGAAAAAGTCCAATATCTCTGCCATTATTAGATATATAAAAAAAATATTTTCACAGAACGGTAAACAGCGTTAAACTACATATTTTAAAATTATTTTTGAATATACAAGGTGTTTAATAACTTCTCTCAGGAACCAACTTATGTTCTTTTTAATGGACCACCCTGTATTTTATTTTATATATGAATTACCCTTGCTTTTCCCATTCTAAAAATATATATTATAATTGGTTTATACAGGGTATTTTGCAGGATATAATCAGTTTTGTATGAAAATCGTATTGAATTCAATGACCTATATCATGCAAAAGAAACAATTGCCAACCAATTTTTTTTTACCACAATTTTTCGATCATGGTCAAATTTTATCCAGAGACACTACTTTTTTCAATTTGCATCAAATCTCTACAGGGTGAGTCAAAACACAAATACATAATTTTCTCAATTTTTTTAAATGGTTCACCCTGTATTTTATATCATCATTCAAAAGTATCCTAATTATAATTTAATTTGACCTAAGCATTCTCTATACCAAAAGTTAATAGTTTTTAGAGATTTTTAAATTTTAATGGTAAAACGATAATTCAGAAAATAATTGATTGGAAATACATTTTATCATTAGTAATTATTTGAATTTAACCTAAAGTAATTATTTATTATCGACTAAGTAAGTTTCTGACAATATGTAATGTCACTTACACATTTATTAGAAAAAGAAATAAACATTGCAATCACAAACTACAAATGAAACCTACTAAATTTTTTGTTTATTAATTTTTTTTAAAGTTGGCTTTGAAAACCCCCAATACTGACTGTTTGTTATTATTAATGTCATAAGTGTTGCATTATTTGTTTTCTCGCCAGTTTTTTATTATGAATTATAGTCGTGAAGAATTAGTTGATATGGTATGGATTTTGGGAGAATGCAATAAAAACTCTTTGTTAGCAACTAGAGTTTATAAAGAACGATTTCCAGAGCGTAGAACGCCAAATAAAACATCGTTCGAAAAACGGATGGATCGATTTAACTGAACAGGGTCAGTTTCAAATGAGAAAAATGATAGAACAAAAACTGCTACTAAAGAGGAAAATGAACTAAATGTTTTGTTAGCAGTTACCGAAAATCCGCATACAAGTATAAGAAATATTTCAAGAGAACAGGAAATAAGTTATACGTCAGTACAAAGAATACTTTCCAAAAATAAACTGCATCCGTATCATATGCAACTACATCAAGAACTCACTATTATGGATTTTGAACACAGGGCAACTTTTTGTGAATGGTCACAACAAAAAATTACTGAACGAAGAGATTTTTTTGAGTACGTGCTTTTTGGAGATGAGGCAACTTTTCATCGAAATGGCTGTGTCAATAGGCACAACTTTCATTATTATTCCACTTCTAATCCATACCATATAATTACTCACAGTCAGGAAAGGCGGTCTTTAAATGTTTGGGGTGACATTATCGGTGAGTACGTGCTAGGACCTCATTTTTTGAACGAACCTGTAAATGAAGAATTGTACTTATACTTTCTAGTGAATTCTTTACCAATATTGCTTGAAGATCTTTCTCTTGAACGACGCCAAAAAATGTGATATTTACATGATGGTGCTCCTCCTCACAATAACGCTCTTCTAAATAGCGAACTTGCAGATCAATTTCCAGGAAGATGGATAGAAGAGGCGGGCCAATCCGTTGGCCGGCCCGGTCACCAGATTTAACTAAAATTGACTTTTTTTTCTGGGGCTACGTTAAGACTGTAGTGTATAAAATACCTCCAACTACAGTAGATGATATGAAAATACGACTAAGAGAGGCATTTCAAAGTGTTACTGTGGAAATGCTTACAAATGTGGGTCGGAACTTTTAAAATCGTCTTCAGGCCTGCATAAATATTATGGGAAGCCTTTGAACAACTGTTCTAATTAAATATAATTTGCAAAAATTACATTTAAATAATAAAGTATGAATTTGTGCTAGCTATTGATATTTTTTCTTTCTTAATGTAAAAATCGATAATAAATTACAGCTGGTTAAATTGTAATAATTACTAATTATCAAACAGAATGTATTTCCAATCAATTATTTTCTGAATTATCGTTTTTACCACTAAAATTTAAAAATCTCTAAAAACTATTAACTTTTGGTATAGGGAATGCTTAAATCAAATTAAAGTATAATTAGGATACTTTTGAACAATGATACAAAATACAGAGTGAACCATTTAAAAAAATTGAGAAAATTATGTACCGTAAAACGGGGTTACTTTGATAACCGTCGGCTAACTTTGCACCGTGCGTGTTAAAGTGTATTAATATCCCATTACAGGATACAGTGTTAAATTTCTAGCAATTACTAGTTTTATCCCATAGAGGGAGTTACAATAGTCACCGGAGCGGAATTGTACGCTTCGCCCGCGGACCAGACGCCGGCAGTTGGGTTCCAAAAACTAACCTAGAATTCTGTTATTTGTTGGGTGGAAAAATCTTGATGGTGAAAGGCTTCCAATCAACAAAAAAATGTAATAACAATATTATTCGCTTTTATTATTATTGTTTTAACTGTGTACGAAGTGTAGCAGAGCAATTTAAATAGGAACACTGATTTTTTGTTGTTGTTATTTTTACATGCATATTTCTTGGTTATATGGGGAAACTTTGCACCAGGGTCACGGTGCAAAGTATACCCACGAAAGTGGTGCATAGTATCCTGGTGAATTTTCTTTATTTAGTTTTATTGTTTCTAGAGGATGCCAAGGGTGTATAAGAGGGCCCCAGGCTCTCGGAGGTATGGCGACTACACGCAACAAAATTTGGAAAAATGTTTAGAAGCAATTTAAAATGGAATGAGTACCAGATTAGCCGCGGAAGCTTATAATATACCACGGAGAACCATTATGAACAAATTGAAGAATGTACACACCAATAAACCAGGTTACCCTGCTACGTTTACAAATAATGAAGTAAGGGTCTTTGTTTCTTGCATTCATCAAATAAGCGAATTCGGGTTCCCAGTGACTGAGATGGAGCTTCGTCAAATAGCCAAGATATTTTTAAATAAGAAAGGTGAGTAACTAGGCATTGTTGATTTCTCTTTCATTTTATTTTATTTTATTTCTCTTCAACAGGTAGGAGTATACCCCGTTTTAAAGATAACCTGCCTGGCAGGGACTGGGTTAAAACTTTCTTAAAGAGGCATAGGGACCTAACAGTCAGATTTGCCACCAACATTAAGCGGAGCAGAGCAGCTCTTAATGATCATCAAATGCAGGATTATATAGAAAACTTAAAACAAACCTTGGAAGGGGTTCCACCACATGCAATTTTTATTTATCATGAAACCAATGTAACAGATAATTCTGGTCAAAAAAAGTTCTAACCAAACGGGGCATGAAATACCCAGAAAGGATAGTTAATTCATCAAAAAGTTGTATATCCCTAATGATTGCAGAAAATGCAGTAGGTGAGGTTCTGCCATCTTAGGTGGTGTATAAATCAAAACATTTATGGGACACGTGGACAGAGAATGGCTCACCTGGTACTCGCTACGCCAACACAGCATCTGGATGGTTTGAGTCAGAAACATTTTCGGATTGATGTTTTCAGCTGTTATTACCAAAATTAAAAAAAAAATGAAGGCAAAAAGGTTATTATCGGAGATAATTTATCCTCGCATCTAAATGTCGATGTATTAGCAGCCTGTAAAGACCATAATGTTTGCTTGCCTCCAAATAGCACTCATGTAACGCAGCCACTAGATGTGGCATTATTCGCCCCATGGAAAAAGGCATGGAGTGAAATTTTGTCAGATTATAAAGAATCCCACGTTGGAATCAGGTCAAGTGTGCTCGAAAAACAACATTTTCCGACACTTCTAAGGCGACTGATATAGAAAATTTCTGAAAACAGTGCTTTAAATTTAGTAACAGGATTCAGAAAATGTGGAATCGTTCCTTGTGATGTAAGTCCCTTATTAGAGCGATTACATAACAATCATCGTGTCGTCAATCAAGAGAATATACCTGAAATAGAAAATTCGTTTCTTGAATGTTTGGAAAATAAAAGGAGGGAGGCTATTCAGTTTCAAGTCCGGGGAAAGAAAAATAAAATTACAGTTCCAGCCGGAAAAAGCATTGCTCACAGCGAAATCGGTTCTGCTGATTTACCTGGAACTTCAGGAATAGTTAGAGGTCCAATATCCAAACACTCTAAACATCAAGGAGAGAATGAAGTTTCAGAAGGAGAGAAGTCAGACAAGCTTCCTGAACTTACAGATTCAGATGATGAAGTTGATGAAATTCAAGACATGGAGGAGGATATTGAATTTAATAAAAAACTTGAATCTGGTTATTCTGCAGCTGAAAAAATTCAAGAATCAGGTCTAACAGACATGCAGAGAGCTGTAGGCGAATGCGTTTTAGTGTTGTATGATGGCAATCCTTATCCTCGAGTCATAACCGAAATTGAGAACGAAATGGTTAAGATT